TTGAATTGTATATAAAAAGATTGTTTGAAGTTTATGTACGGACAATTTTGGTATTTAAATGAATTTCTTTTTGTTAAAAATTGTGATTTAACAATAAGGGGTGTCAGTGATGTTTTAAATAACAAATGGAGTATCCTTGAAGTTATATTAAAGTATAAAAAGGTGTGACTGAATTTTTTTCTAAAACAAACAATTTAGAGGTAAAAGGGCTCGGGAAGCTTTCGCTCCCCATTCCCTAATTTCTTTAATTCAATATATAACGTTTCTTCTAATCAAAATGTTGTCATTTGTCATTTTCAACCCTATCTCGATTCGTTTATAATCAAATATTGTTTTTCAAATTTATTCAAAAAAATTACTTGTTACCACCCAAAAAATTTCTACAATCATTTATTTAACTTCTCAAGTAATAAAACAAAAGAAGAAAGAGAGAAATTAAAAAAAAAAAGATGTTATTTATAATTCCATGCAGCATAAAAGGTAGACCGCTAGTGTGTGTGTATATATATATAATAATAAACAAATTAAATGGGAGTTGGCTTGAGAAAATTTATCTCTTTTTTTAAAAAAATCTTATAAAATATTGATTTACTAATTATTGCTTATGTCTGAAGGTACAAAATAATAAAAAATGGTAAACAATAATTTATTTATATTCATATTCAAAAATCAAAAATCAAATATCAAATATAGATAATAAATAAAGGAATTTAAGTATCGATTTGTAGTGAGGGTGATAGATGGTGGGCGGCAGTAGTGATGGTAGGAGACAATGATGGTTGTGGTGGGTGACAATGATCGTGGTGGTGGCAATGGTGGTAGTGGCGACGACAACGACGATGGTGGTGGTGACGGGGGTGGTGATGGTGATGGTGAGATTGGGGGTGTCAATGGTGGTTGTAGCGGTGATGGGGTGGGGGTTGGCGGTACTGGTGGCGGCGACGACAGTGGTGGTGCTGGTGGTGGTGGCGATGGTGATGGGGGTGCGGGTGGCAGTGATGGTGGTGGTGGGGGATGGCGGCGGTGGTGTAACGCCCCTAAAACTGGGGGTCTTTTTTTCAATCGTTGACAGCCCGCAGAAGTACCCGTGATCGTCGTACAATCCAACATCACGTCAATAACATTCCCCTTTAACTAGGATTATAAGTCACACGTGTAACCCGTGTATATTTTATCATTTAATCAAATCATGGTTTAACGTACCACATTTCATATTTCATTATAATCCATTTATATCCTTGAAACCAAAGAACCCATAGCCCAAAACCTTGGCGAATAAATTTTAAAATTTCAAAATTTTGGAAAGAATACCAGTACAGCGTACCGGTACTGTGAACCTTCTGAAAAATCCGTATTGGTACGGCATACCAGTACGCTCTACCTTGTGAACAAGACTGTACCGGTACGGTTAACCCACTGAAAAATCTATCCCAGTAGGGGTGGTCAGTGGACCTTGTTGTATCGGTACTCAGTACAGGTACGCTTTGCCCACTTTTGCTTATTTCATCTGCTTTTCATTTTCAACTCATTTCTAAGCATATTATTTTCATCCAACTCATGTATAATGAAGATTTTCATGTAATACAAGGTCGATACAAGTTCTATTACATTCAATTCAATGTATTTACATACCAAAATAGAATTTTATAATTGTTTTACAAAATTCAAAATAAAGCCACATTCCGGCTTTCTTCACTCTTGGGGTCCTGTGTGAGGGTCTTCCACAGATGTATATCTCACACCTGAAATATTTTTTCGTATAGGGTGAACTACGCCCAGTAGAGTATTTCCTACCGAGGTTATTTCTCAACCTAAGTACATATGAATGTTCATACAACACTTAACAAACAACAACATCCCAACAAGAATATATTATTAAATGTTGAAATCTTAGAAGTGTCATGTCATGAAATGAGATGAGATTCACTTATGCAATTCAACCCGAGCCCATCCCTAGCTCTTTTCCCCCCATGTATGTCATGAGTATAAAAATCGGCTTTCTCAGCCCCACCATTGGCGCTACACACCAAATGACTATTTAAAAAATTCTGGGTCTTTCTTGGGGTGGGTATTTATAAACTTACACCAACGGCACCTAGCCGAAACGAAATTCATGGACATCAACCAATGGTTTCGAGTACACCGACATACTTTATAGGCTCTTATACCAACGGAGTGCGTATCCGATTACCAGATATCTCACCCGAGGGATAGTCTAACTCTTTTTGGTAACTCCGACCTAATTCTTTATCCATACCACCATATGACTCAGTCGGATCTTCGATCCACTACTATCCCGAACCCACTCATCATCCACTAATTAGGTGTTTGATATCAACCATGCACACATACACACACACACCCACACTCATGACTTTGGATGTGGTTCCTCCATGCAAATGCAATATAATGCACCATTATTATTTCAATGTCATGCCCTCTATGTAAAGAATGCCACATGAGTAAAATTAACCACATTTAAACATATTTCATGACAATTTATATTCAAAGTATATAATTACCAATTTCATCATAATGTTGATATATCTATAAGCATAAATCAACATTTTTATATCCAACCATACATCACAAGCATGTTATTACATATTATATGTCAATAACATACTCTCTTCACAAGGCATAATAAAAGCACATAGCATGCCCACATAATACCAATTTCTATGGAATTACACAAGTAACTATCACATACCAATTCCATGTGTAGGAATTTATTTTAAACTATTTTATACCTATTTTCATACCCATTTCATCAATTTCACAAACATAGGTAAATGATATAAGTTTTTATCAAACTACTCATTTCATATAAACACCCTAGATTGTAAAATAAATCCAAGTAGGAAGGAACCATACCTCTTGAAGTGTAAAGAACACATAGAAAACCCTCAAGAACTTCAATCAAACTCAAACCCCTGATTTCCTCAAGCCCCGTTTTTGGAACTTCTGTAAAGTCTTCGATTTTTGGTAGGTAGGCGTAACCCTTGACGAGAAGAATGACTTTCCCTCTTGGCCTAAACGGATTCGACCATTAGAATTTCGTAGATCGTAGAGAGAAGTGGTGAAACTCTCTCTTTTCCCTCTCTTCTTTTCTCACGTTGAAATCGGCTAAAGAATGGAAAGAAATCTGATATTTCTCCCCTTTTTATACCCTCAAAACACTTGGCTCACAAACGCACCACAATTCCTCTCTTTTTTGGGTGTGTTTTCGTCCCAAAAATGATTAAATTTCGCCCCGGTTCAAGTTCAAAATATTTTTATTTTAACTTGACTTTAATTATTTTCTAACTTTCGAATTTTTATTAAAAATTTCATTTTTTAGGTCACCCGAGACTCGACCCACCTCAGAAGCAAAAAACTCGACTACCTTGAAATTCGATGAAATTTGAAGGGGATAACTAGATTTCTCGAGACGAATCCAAAGGTGAGGTCCGTTTCATTATCTTAGTTTTAAAAAAATTCAGATTTACAACTCATACCGCAGTGACAAATTACCGTTTTTTCTTTTTTCTCAAAAAATTTAAATTTACCCGGATTTTACAAGTGGTGGGGATGGCTACGGTGGTGGTAGAAGGTGATGACGGTGGTGGCGGCGGTGGTGGTGGTGGTGGCGGCGGTGGTGGTGACGACAATGGTGGCGACGATGGTGATGACGGCGGTGGTGGTGGGGGTGGCGGTGAAGGTGGGGGTAAGGGTGGCGGTGGTGGTGACGATGGTGATGACGGCGGTGGCAGTGGCGGTGGGGGGTGGCAGCGGTGGTGATGGTGGTGATGACGACAACAGTAAGGGTGGTAGCGACGACGGTGGGAGTGGGGGTGGGGGTGGTGGTGGTGGTGGCTGCGACGACGACGATGGCAGTGGTGGGGCAGTTTCAAACAATATTTTTTTAAAAGTATTTATGAGAAATAATTTTTAAAAAGTCACTCAAAACACACCTTTACGAGTCTATTTTTCCTATTAAATATATAGTGTTAATATTAGTTGTTAGATTAACTTTAAAGTAGAATTTAAAGTTATCTGAACTGCGAATTACAAAAATTATTTTGTTTATCTTTTAAGATTTGAATTTTTAAGATACTTTACTATATAAATTTAATTAGTTAAAACCTAATCAACACTTGCTACCTACACATTTCAAAACCACTTGAATGCTTCAAAATAAGAAAATTACTAATAAATATTATTTTGCTCTACAAACATCCATTAAATTCTATCATTTTAATTTTATATCAATGAAGTCCTATTTTAATATTTTATTTCAATTAAGTCTTAAATTCTATTAGATTCTAATTTTATCCTCTACCAAAAATCTTTTATTCTTTGACATTCTTATGTCAATTTGGTGACATGCTCTTGGGGCATTTCAATTGCTATGTTACTTTGTATTCTTTCTGGTATGTCGACTTCGACGACATACTTTAGATGTTTGTAATTGTTATGTGATTTGTTTTCTTTCTCACAATAAACTAATCCTTACTTTGATTATAATAAATTATATTATAAATTCCATTGATACATTATATTTGTGATTTTATATTATTCTATTAATTTATATTAGATTTAAAATGTTTAAGTTAGAGATTAATTTTAGTTGTTGTGTTTGAATCGCTAATGACATTAAAGTGAAATTAATTTGACAAATTATTATCGATGTAAATTTTTTTTACTTTTCTTATTTTATTAAATAATTGTCAAATTTTGTCTCAAATTTTAAGATTAGACACCCTAACGAGTCATGTGATGAAATTTATGTTAGCTCAATTTTTTTTTAAGCAAAAGAATAAAAGGATTTTTGTTATAGTCACTCCACGTATTACACGGGGTCCCCTGCCGCACCTCTGGTATCTAATGCTTTAAACACGATAATTGAGCAATCAGTGGTCGGTGTACTGCCACGTCATCAGTCACAGTGATGTCGAAAACAGCAGATTCAAGTTTAAAGTAGTCTTCAGGGAGAGAGTTATCCTATTAACTCTGGTTAGTTCCGTTGTTGGACTTCCAAGTCAAATCAGTTTTAGAGGAGAGAGAAACACGAGAGCGGAGCGAGGGGGGCGACCGGCGAGTCTCCTGCTTTTTGTTTGGTTTCTCTCTCTCTCTTCGATCTAAAGAGGTTGGAGTCCTAAATCATTTCCAGATCCGAGTCGGAGAGAGCTTAGCTTTCATTACGCCGTGAAGATGGCCACTGCGCCTGCTAGAGCTCGAGCCGATTACGACTTCCTCATCAAGCTCCTTCTTATCGGCGACAGCGGCAAGTCACTCTCTCTCTCTCTTTCTCTATACACACACACACACACACACACACAGGTCTGATCAATTTTCGGATCAAAATTAAGGTTTAGATGTCAAATTAGAATAGGTGAACTTGCCAATCAAGTAGTCAGGCTCATTTTACCCGTCTTAAAACTTGGGGAGTAGTGAATACTCAAAAACCTAAATATCAGGGTTTTAATTTCTTGTTGTCACATTTTATTGGCAATTATACAGTGCATATAAGTATTAGCTCTGAAGATTTTGTGTTTTGTAGAATTAAGAGGAAGCAGTTGTGTGAAAAAAAAAAACGAAGGTTCAAGAAGAAATTTGGTACATAGAGGTAAAATTGTTACGCTTAAGAGTCTTGCAAAGACGTAAAAACGAAATTTTCGTAAGATTTATTTTGTTTAGTATGATTGTTTGGAGTTTGGAGGCATGGTGGCACTTTTTGGAGTGAGACTGGAGTAGTTTGCAGGTCTACCTTGTTTAAAGTATCTTAAGAAGTGATATGACCTATTATACTTTGACATGAGTCAGCATGTTTCCAAATTGGACCGTGGAGATGTGATCTCTTATGCCATTCAGTCGATCACTTCTTTTTTGTGTATCAAAAAATGTGTATGCTACAATTGCAAGAGATATGATTATCTTTCTGGTCAATGGGTCATTTGGCCCATTTGATCCATTGGTAGAGTTTTTGAAGGCACATTAGCTGGTAGTTGCCTGTAGTTTCCATTCTTCAGTCATCAAAATGTAGAAGTACTGCAATTTTTTTTTTTTGAAGGTGTGGTGCTTGGTGGAGGCCATGGTGGTGGCCATCTGTGAGCTCTCCTGTGTGTGTTTGTGTGAGAGAAGGGGATAGCAGTGTGGTGTTGGCAATGTTTGTGCATGTGTGCAGTGAACGATCTGGCTACTTTTGGAGAAAAGAAGAGTAACATTGATAGTTTTTGAAAAAATCTTGCTTGACATCATCATCTTTATGGTCTAGCTGTAATGACCGGTAAAAGCAGGGGTACTACCCAAAATAGGCATGTAAATCAGAAAAAGGTGCAGTGTCATTTCATATAATACAAGGTGTGTCCCTGAATTTACTGCAATCTGTAGATGATGTGGCTTGATTCTTTATTTCTTTAGGTTTTTTTCCCTCTTTTATTTTTTGTTTGGGGGGGTTTATTTGGGTTGGTTCAACATTCGCATTTGTTCTTGAATTTTGGCTATGTTCATTGTTTTTTAGGCCGACTGTTTTCACCCTTAGAAGCAATCATGTTGCAGTAATATCTCTAGAAAAGGACCAAGCTTGCGATAATATTGTTCTTCAATGCATAATCTCAATTCTTTTGTATCCTTCTACCTAAATTATTTTTCATTGGTAGTTACTTGGACTCTTTTCTGCTGTTGATTGCATTGCCTTGATTTTACTCATCATTTACCCTGTGGCAAATTAGTTAATATGACAAAGCATTTGCGATGAGTTTCAGGCATCCTACTCTCTTCTATGTTTGCAGGGGTTGGAAAGAGTTGCCTGTTACTTCGTTTCTCTGATGATTCGTTTACGACGAGTTTCATCACCACAATTGGGTGCATTGTCTTTCCAACCTATTTTTCAATTAATTTGTCATATTCCTTGATTTTGTGCTACTTGCTAATGTATTACCGGCTTTTTGTAGGATTGATTTTAAAATTAGGACAATTGAGCTTGATGGCAAGCGCATCAAACTTCAAATATGGGATACTGCTGGCCAAGAACGTTTCCGAACAATCACAACAGGTACTTAACTATTTGACTTGTTTTTATTTTATGTTTTTGTCGTTTAACTTTTCATAAGTATTTGAGAAGTAAATGAGGTCTCTCCAAAAAAAAATGTGCCCAAACTTTTTTTTTATTTTTATGAATGTCAGTAATATAGTCCTTAAGCAGCACTTCATGATCTGCTTGGCTAGTTTGTTTTGAGTGTGAGATGTATATGTGAAATTGTTAGGTTGCTTACTTCCATTTTTGTGTAAATACCTGTAAAAGCACACGATATGATAATACGTTAAGCAGTGTAAAGGTCCTGGGGTTGGGCCATGGGGATATGAATAGAAAGACTATGAGGTCTGAGCATTTGAGATTTCCATCCGCCAGACTATTGGAGTAATCGAACTTGACATTGTGATCGAGCCGTACCAGTTCCAGATCAGTTTAAATGTGGTAGATTTGAGGCATTGTTCACTTTGCTATTGGGAATACTTTGGCTCCATTCAGCAGGGTCCTTCCCCATAAGGCCATTCTACGCTGCACCAAAGGGTAAAGTTCTTTATCGATGACCAGCTAGTCACTATCTTGGCTGATGACAAAGGAGTGGGCTCAAGAAAGGTAGAAATTGTGCAGCCATGTAGAGTCAGGACTTCAATTCCTATTGTATTAGTTGAGACAGTCAATTGAATCCCCCTCAACGCGAGGCCATCAAAAAGAATGAAGACCCGGGTGGAAAATACTAACCAATATGAAATTTCACCCTATTTTAGGATAAGGCAGTGTCTAGGGATTAGCTTTCAAGGAAGGCTTGTGCTGGTAACTCTTCCAAGGCACGATCCCACTTTACTTAGTAGGGCTTAGGAACGATGTTGGCAAATGATTGTTGAATAGAGTGACTCACAATATTTGGAAATATGCAACAGGGAGCAATCTCACATACTCAACATCTTGCATGAGCAAAGATAAACATAGACCCACCATCTCCTTCCAGTACCCAATAGAAAAATGGTTGTCATTGGGAAGTGGCATACTTAAAAGTGCATTATATTAAATTGCCGGAAATTAGCCTATGCTGAGATTTAAGTAAATAGTCCAGACCAGTCAGTATTATTGAACTTAATTTTTAATAGTTTTTTGGGTGCTATTAACTGAATTGTGCTCCATTGATATAGCATGTCGAAGAATTCCTGTATGACTTGGCAGACTGCAGTGAATTTTTTTTTTTAATTCCTGATACTGTGGTTTATTAGTGGACTTTGCATCATTTCTTTTGACATTCAGCTTTATTTTTATATTCTAATTATTATCTTCTTGTTTTTTGTGTAGCTTACTATAGGGGAGCCATGGGTATATTGCTGGTATATGATGTGACGGATGAGTCATCCTTCAACAGTATATCTATCTGCTATATCCTATTGTCTTTTGCTCTTTCTCTTGCTTGTAGAATCTGTTTAGTAGCATTCATTAGCATGATTCCTCGTTTTTTTTTGTAGACATCCGAAACTGGATCAGGAACATAGAGCAGCATGCCTCTGATAATGTCAACAAGATACTGGTTGGTAACAAAGCTGACATGGATGAGAGCAAAAGGGTAATGAATAAACTGACCTATAATTGGTACGCAAGCTGCCACTTTTCGAGCATTATCATCAACTAGACTCACTTCTCTGTTTTTCTTTTTCTTTTTCTTTTTCTTTTTCTTTTTTTTTGGCAGGCTGTGCCAACATCACGGGGCCAGGCATTAGCTGATGAATATGGTATTAAATTTTTTGAGACGGTGAGTTTTGGCATTACTGTATGCACTAGAGATAGTCTGCTTTATACTGGATTCAAGAACCTATTTTATTGCTCCTTATCTCTTTTCATGAGTGATTACTTGGTGTGCATGTTATTCATTGGAATGGAAAGTTTCTGGCGCATGGAAGATGTGTTGGTATTTTTTTATATAAACATTAGGGCCAGGGCCCTGGCCCTTTTTAGATTTAACACTGTAGAAACTTGTTCCACAGAGTGCAAAAACAAATTACAATGTGGAGCAAGTCTTCTTTTCTATAGCTAGAGACATAAAGCAAAGGCTGGCAGAGACTGATTCCAAAGCAGAGGTATATATGTTGGCTAATCCCATTATGAGTTGCTAATTTAAGCAATGTGGGATTATGTACTAAATTGAATCTTCTTGCTTTGATCTTTCTATTCTGTATGCAGCCTCCAACCATTAAAATCAGTAAACCCGACCCTGGCAAGGGGTCAACTGCTGCTCCAGAAAAGTCAGCATGCTGTAATACTTGAGTTTCACATGAAGATCAAGGTTGCTCTGTACTTCCCTTGGACATGTGCTATAGTTTTGCTGTGCTGGGAAGAAGTTTCCTCTTCACCATGGGAAGAAGGCCCTGCCCACCCGTTCTTCTCGGTTTGTAACTCCTCGGGTTGTATTTCTCCCTCAACTTGAAAGGGAGGCATAGTTTGGATGTTTTATAAGATGTGGGATACCTGCCTTGCCGCTTGCACAGGTTCTCAAATAATTATTATATGGGTGCTTGCTTACCTTTTGAGTGCTTTGACCTGAAAGCTTATAGAACCTCGTTTACCATGTCTGGATGTTCAAGACTAATGTTGGTCCAGCTTGATTATCTAAATAATCAGTAGATAAGTGATGCATTCCATATTCTTTATTCTAATTATATTAGGTAAGCACATCAATGTCGTGTGTGTGTGCGCGCGCTTATTTTTGGGGACGATTGCATATTTTTATTTTTGATCAAAGGACGATTGTGTCTGGTTCGATTGAAAACTATTTGTTTAGAACGGGCTTTGCCTGGCGTTGTTTTACCATACTACTTTCTGTTGCCAATCAAAACAATTTCATGGATTCTGTGGTCATTTTCAGCACTCTCGGTTGTTCAAGTTTCAAAACGGGATGCAAAGTTATGAATTAGCATTAAATCCTGCAAAACAGGCGATTTTGTTTCTGTGACAACCTAGGTGAGGATTATTAACAAATACAAAATGGAAGAAACAAACAATTTTTTAAAAGCTACCCCAGCACAGCCGCCAAGGACAAAAGAAAATCATAATGTACATAACCTGATAGATGTCATTGGGGAAAAAGCGCAGCATATGTGCCATTGAGGGGGAGGGGGCCTTTGTTGCAATGTTTTATGAGCAACAACCACCACTAGGAGGTGCCTGGTTTTCTGGTCTCTGCTTTAAGATGTTTCTCTTCACTGTAGATCCTTCTTCCAAAAGTCTTGGAACCTCCATTATCTGCAAAATACAAACAATCGACACAAATTGGAACAGATAAACAAGTATCTCTAATCCCATGGCAGCTACCCACGATCCAAAGCTTTTCAACAATTAGAGATCTAGTTAAAAATGATTTGTTTTTCCAGGAAAAATAGGAATTCATCATGTTACTTTTTACCAATAGAACGGGTCCAAGTGCCCAAATTTAGTTGGTGCAGATGAATGAATAATTTAAACATCAATAACTAAAATCTTATTTGTTGCGTAATTAAGATTCATCTGGTAATAGAAGATCCTACAGGTCAGGTGAGAGGCATGAATTCCTTTACCTTTAACGCAAGCTCTTCAAAGCATTGTTCCACATTTTCTCTAGTTTTAGCACTGCATTCTAGAAATAAACATCCTAGTTCTTCTGCAAGAGCAACCCCTTCTTCCCTACTTACGACCCTTTCAGATTCCTGCAATTCCATGCAGAATGAGTTTTCATTCATCGTGAGAAGTCCTCATGATTCAATTGATTGAAAAAGCCACTTAACCAAATACAAACTTTGCTACTGGATAAAAGAGAAGTTTTTACATAAGACTAGTAAATTAGCTTTTTGCCAGACTTAAGTACAGGATATAAAGACTCGTAGTTCGGTGTCTAGACTACCAAACAATGTCAATACCTGACCTTGAATACACTAACAAGTCTTCTCATGGTATTCATCTTGAGGATCACTCAAAAGCTTTTAAAATAGAAAGTATTATTTGGTAAATAAAGACGGTTTTTTATTAGAGGCATACACCAACATAGAATGTGTCTTTGTTTGAGTCATTGAGTCGAAGTATTCAAGTGTGAAGGTTCTTCTTTGATGGCAATCCCGTTAGTGCATACTGAATTTTATATTTACTTTGCTCATGTTAGACCAGAAGAATACAGGAGTGGCAGGACAATCTTTCACCAGCTCTGTCAAGAAATGAAGATGACACCAAACACATACTCCAGATCATTTCATAGATTTTTATTGTCATTCAAAATCAACACAGAAAAAGAATAGTAATTAAAATAAAGTTGAATTGGTCAGTCTGGCAATGGAAAAATAAAGCAAACATGCCAAAAAGACAGAAAGAGCATAAGAAAAACACTTTACATGCAGCAATTTAAGTACAAAAGCTAGTTTCTTAGAAGAACCAGTGCAATTTGTATGGCTGTTTCTTGTCTTGTCTTTTCCTTTTCATAGTTTGGTTTGATAATGAACTCCAATATGTGTAGCCGATTCCAAAAGGTTATTTGGGTTGAGTTGAGGTTAATCAGTCCCCATATGGCATATGTTTTATTATTAGAAACCCATCTTGACCACTTAAACGATTGAATTTCAAAGATCATTTTCAAGCACTGAAACAGACGATGCAGAACTTACTCTGTCAACTTTGTTTCCAACAAGCATCTTCACACAATCCTGATTGGTGGAGTATAGTTCTACTTCTTTGGCCCACACATCTGACAAGTTTGTGAAGGGTTCTCTCCTTGTCACATCATAAACTATATTCAAGAAAGGAAATTAAACAAATTTGATGAAAACCACTAGAGAATTGTGCTTCCATAATATGAAAAGCCTCATATGAAAGAATTTTTAGAGTACGGTTGAAGGACCAAATATTTAAATATGTATGGTTGTGGCAACAAACAAAGAAAAATGAGCCAATATACTGTGCGCAAAACTAGAATGAAAAAATAACAGATAAACACAAAGTTGCATGCAGTGTATTCTGATACACGTGAAAGTTTCAATTTTACTTCCACTGTAGCTCAATATTTTCAGTGGAAACTGAAAGGCAAAGCAGAAGAGTGCATGGGCATGAGGTCAATCATTCAAGGTGCTCCTGTGGATGAATATGTATTTCTTTACCCCAGTGAATACATAATTGTGGGTATTTAAGAGGACTGGGTTATCGATACAGGTTGTCAATATCTCTCAACAGGAGATAAACCATACATCAGCCTTGTGCAGATAAAAAAATTGATCTTCATCGTGAGAAATAGGTTGAATACTGAGGCAAGTGGAATAATGGGAGCTGAGAAATCAACTCAACTCAACATGCCTTGTCTCAACATTTTTGGATCGACTGCATGAATCATAAATTTTCATTGCCACTGTATACTTCTTAAATTTAATATTCAATTGAGAAATTAACATTGTGATATATTGCTACTTTTAACTTGGGAAGAGCAATTACCCCCAGGGAGGATAACATCAGCAACATAATTGGAGTAAAAAAAAAAAGTTCCTATGTTGTTGATCCCATCATGTGAAGTCCTGAATTGGAACAAAAAGGTAATGTGATCCAAAAAACTAGAGCTGAGGGGGTAGATGATTTTTGATTGGCATAACCACTAACAACATATAAGATCCAAGTAAATTTGTAAACATACAGCATCAAGGGGACTGAGTAGTAAGAAAACTCAAAGATGACTAGAGTAGTGAACAGTACATTCTTAATAAGTATTTATAGAAAATGGTTGATTCCCAGACCCTCTGATAGAACAGAAGAGTTCATACAGTAGCGTACCAAGAATGATCCCCTGGGCACCTCTATAATAAGAGCTTGTCAATGTCCTGAACTTCTCCTGTCCAGCTGCAACAGATAAAATGAATTTACAAAACAAACTACAATTTTAAGGTACACTGCAGTATGATAAGAAATTGTTACTGTCATATGACTTGGAATAGAATGAAACAGCCATAATAAGATCCCAAATTTGACACAACCCTAAAAGATGTCTAAGCTATCAAGGAGCATCCTCAAACTAGACAACCAAAAGGACTTGCACAGATAGCTTGCAATGGCAACAATAGTACTAAAGAGAATATACACCAAGTTTATCTTTATTTTCATGCAATAAGAAAGCAGTCACCAGAAGGTGCCAAAGGAGACCCAACCTAAGTGAAAGGCAGCATATTGACCACTCGCTTGGGGAATAGTAACAGCCTGCCTGCCACACACACACATCCTCTAAAAGAAAGGGAATCCCTTCCTGATAGCCACGCAAATTAAGAAACAGCAGATAGATCCTACAACCAGAATCCGCAAAGCCATTGGCTTCCTGCAGTTTAGTAATTAACCTTTATCCATCTGCTGTTATGTCATATAATTTCCGCTTTTAGTCCTAAGACTTTTACACTCACTACTTCCGTACCTAGTGGCCATATACCTATTGGTGTGATAAATCAAACCACATTGGCAGCCAGATATGTGTAAGACTGTGTGCTAAAGCCTGCTAAACATCCTTCACCCACAACAGGAGGCCTGAACTTTTGAGTTGTGCTAAAGATTGCAAAATATATATCAACAGACCACAGCCACTTGGATATGTAGTGACGTAATAAGGAGGACAAAAACAGAAAGAAAAAGAAAGCAACATAACAAGATATTGAGAGATTAGACTAGGCCATGCTTAACAAAATTAATGTGAAATAATGGGCAATTGCCACTTATTACCAGTATCCCAGATTGTAAGCTTCAATTTCTTTCCGCCGACTGTTAGCAGCTTGATTTTAAAATCCACTCCTGGACAGAGTTAACACGGTTTTAAGAATAAGCAACAAAAAGGCCTAATCTGAGGCGGTTTGGAAATTTCAAATTAAATGTTACAAGCCACACTTGCATCTAATTAATCGGAACAGAAGTCAAGAGTAAAACAACCTATCAAACAGAATACTTTTCACAACTCAAAAAACCCCCTATTCAACAAAGAAGGAAGCTTCAAAAAGAGTGGCAACACTTCGCAACTGTGGCACCAAAGTGCTGATCACTACATTGCATGATTTTTACAGAGAACATTTGCACGAGTACATGCAAACTAAAAGCTTATAACTGAAGAATTAGAAACTATACAGGCATATCAGAATGACATCAAAATCTGGCATTAACCAGCAATGCATATGACCATCTCATGAATCTAACAACGGTATTACCTCAAACATCTTCACTGAAAAAAGTTATATAAATCGAAGCAACCAAGGTCACATCAACTGGCCATTATACCTAAACTGAGATGGTATGACCGTTCCATTCAATATTTCCTCCTTCAAAAACACATAATCCAAATAATCCACCCTTACTCCTAGAACTAATTCAATAACAACAAACAATGTATCAGACGACCATATCCATCAAAAGTTAACAGTACTTTACAAATCCATTTAGTTATTCAAAAAATAACTAATTCGAAAATTCATTTCATAACACAGAATACAAATCTGCACACATGCATGCATCTATGTATGTATGTATGTATGGATAATACACAGAAGAATAAAGTAGAAATGGCTTATCTCTACTGACCATACACTTTACTTGAGTTCTAGAATTAATCCAGAGATCAATTAAACAAATTTCAAATGCAAACATATGAACATAAACTGAGTACATATATGAAGAAGGTACCGATTGTAGGAGTAAGATCGTCGACACAATTTGAAATGAAACTGACGAGAAGACTGCTTTTGCCGACGCCGGAGTCCCCGATCAACAAGATCTTGAAGGACAGATCGTAGCTGTTACTCTGGCCCGACGAAGAGCCCATTCTAATGGATCAGCTTAATGGCAATGTTCGTCTCCCTCTCTCTCTCTGCCTTTCTCTCTCTCAACAGACAACAGTGACAATGTGTATTTAATGTGTGAGTGAGGAAAGAGAACAAAAAAGAGCAAAAGCATATAGCATCTCTCTCTTAAACAATAGAGAAAGAGAGAGTGCGTCATGTGCGTGTGCGTGTGTGTGTGAGAGAGAGAGAGAGAGGGAGTCTACTTCGTTCTTTTCCTATCTCTCTCTGCAGACTTGCGTACCATTTCGTTTGGTACGGAACGGAACGTGAGGTTCGTTGTTGGCTTGTCGTAACCCACCTCCACCTGCTGAGACGGTGGGCAAATTGAGAGTGGCAGTCTTGTGATAATCGAAAAGAGAGTGGGCAAATTGGTTACGGAGGGAGGGAGGACTGGGCTCCATGTTTTTGTTGGCGTGTCAGAATCTGGGTGGGCTTTTTATGGTGGTGGGTACTAAGTTGAACCCAAAAGGTATTTAACAGATTTCCTACTTCATCTATCACACGTACATTATAAAAAGGGATCCATTTTGATATAAAAAGAGTTTCAGTTAAATTTTTATTACAGATTATAATTAAGCAAATTGAACAAATTTTGAATTGGAATGAACCAAGATTGGTTGGAAGAGTTGGGTGGCTTCTAAAGCTTACTAAGGGGATAATTACAACTAATTGGTCGTACTTTTATCGCTCTTTTTCTATATAGTATACAATATTTTCACCAGCATCATACGTATAAGGTATACCATACACAATGCAGCAAGCAATATATGGCAAAGGAAATAGACTCAACAATCTCATCTCACCTCAAGAGTCTTAGGCTTTTTTTTTTTTTGGTTTCATCAACGACCTCATTAACAAGACAAACCACTTGATACTTGGTTTCCATAGTGGTAGACTTATCGTTAATTAGGAAAAATTCGTGGTTGAAGGTACGATATAATATGAATAATTTTGAGAGGGATGTTGATGGCCATTAGATGAGTCTATTTGAAACTATTGAATGGAGTTACTGAAGTCTACTCTGTTTTATATCATAAACTAGTTAAGGCTTGTATGTGAATGCAAGTTACTGAAAAATTTTATTATTAGGAGTGTAGATTGAAAATTCTATGGTGTAAAATATAATACACCTAAATAGTATACAAAATTTGGGTGTGGCTTCTCTACGATAAGTGACCAACCGCATGATATGCGGTTTAATTGAACAGCAACTTTTTGTGGCATTTTTTTTGAAAAACCAAGACCAATAACAACGTCGTTTGTTCAACCAGACCAAACCCAGTTTCGTTCAAAAATCCCCAAAATTCATCAAAACCCTAACGAAGATTCTGCAACTCCAACACCAAGATCAACAACACTTCCTTTATCTCTTCGATATTTCAGTTCGTATAATATATATATATAGTTCAGTTTGTGTGTATTTATTGTATGGGTTTGAAGGTTAGGGACTTTTATTTTGATTCTAAGGGTAATCCGAGACCTGCAGGTGGGGGAGTTATAGTGAGAAATGAATGGGAGAGAATAGTGATTGCTACAACCTGTTACTATGGTGTCTGTACCAATTTGGAGGCAGAATTTAGGGCTCTTCTTGATGGTTTGAGGTTAATAAAGGAATATGGTTTGGATGTATATAGAATTCTGATTGAGTCAGATTCTTTGATGCTGGTGAAGTCTGTGTTGGGTGTGTTCTGTGCCTGGCCTTTGTGGTCTGTTTTGGAATAGGTTAGAGAGAAGCTTAGTCGATTAGCTTTCCAGATGAGACATGCATATAGGGAAGCTAATTCAGTAGCTGATCAGTTGGCTAATATAGCATTACAGGATGGTCACTCTTTTGATTTTACTATGTCTATGTCCTTGCCTTCTGCATTGAAGCTGGTTCTTTTGCAGGATCAAAGAGGTTTGCCTATGGTCAGGAAGAGGAGGGTGTTAGTTTTTTTATGACAAGAGATGAATTGAGAGATGCTTGAATTAGTTGTTAGTGACTGTTATGATTTTGATGATGGGTCCTAAACTGCTGATCACTGTTCTGTTGGTTTCTGGAATGAGGATGGTGCCTTGGAGGAATGTAAATGCCTTCAAAAATTTTGAAGAATGAAAGCCATAAAGTGTAAACTTGGAGAGATTGCATACATTGATTCTTGTACAATGATTTTGTATTTTTTCCTTGTACATTGATTTTGTATTTACTTCTTGTACAATGATTTTGTATTTGCTTCTTGTACAATAAAAATGTGATTTGTGGAAAATGCGATTGATGGTGGTTTCAAATATACATGCCTATAGAATAATTTAAAATCCTTTGTTTGGAGCACTGCCACTAATTACCATTGTCCTTTCATGTTGGTAGTGTTGAAGAATAACATATTCAAGCACGGCAACAAGCAATGGCGAGTTAAGATATTGCAATATGCAATGCACTAATTGTAAGAAAAAGTGATTATCAAAGTTTTCGAATTGAAAAAAATTCCTAAGAAGCTATACTACAAATGTCCAGACGAGAGATGCTAATTTTTTAAGTGGATGACTCCTACTACTCTATCTTTTTCAAAAATTACAAATGAAGGGATAAATGTATGACGAATTGAAGAAGATGTAATGACATTAAAGTTGAAGATTGAAGAACTTTCTACTATAGTTCAACGTGTTGAGGCAAATGAAGGAGCAATGAAGTCATATATGTTTGTAGCCACGTTATTAGTAGTGATACTTATGTTTGTGATTCTAGTGAAGTAGAGACATAATAACAATGGTGTATTTATGAAACTTGTGTTGTGAATGAACTTGTGGGTTTTGTATAGTGTTGTGACTTGGAAAAAAGATCATGGTCATCAAAAAAAGATCATGTTCATTAAAAATACAAAAAACATGGTTTTCAACAAAATATCATTCCAACTGCTATCCCCCAAGCATCTAGTATCTCTTAATCCAACAAGTAACTAGTATCCCCCAAGCATTCTTACAATTGTTGCTCATTATACATGTCGCAAATCATCACCGAAGAAGTTATTCATAAAAAATGATTCAACATTATTTAAAGAATGCACATGTGTTGAATTAGCCAGAATACCCTATAGTACTGAGAATAGATCAGACAAAGAAACTTGAATTATATGTGAAACAACGAAGTTAGTAATACGGTAACATACCATAATACTTTGTAAACTATGCAAAGCTTGAGAAGACAAAGAAACCGATGTACATGAGTGACTGAAACCATATACCTTGAATACAAAATATAATGATAAGTACATTTATATTTATAAAAATATGAAGTGAATAAAAATACCTACAATTATATTTATACGATACCTTAGACACATGTGATAGTTGTGAAACTCCCTTTTTTCTCTTTGGTGTTTTCTCATGCCAAGATTTTAGTCGACCCCAACCTTTGTAACCTCTCTTTTTTCTTTTTAAACCTTTAACTTGGAGAATGTTTGAGTCAACATTTTCTATTCCTTCTTCATGGATTGAATTATCACCAACATACCAATTGATGCATACATAATATCCACTTGTTTGAATAATTCTTCAACACCACGTGACACCAATTGATATGCAGGTTGAAGACCAGAGCATCGAGTAGCTAGTTGTACAATTCTAAGACAAAACTGCCTGTAATGTGACACCACCATTAACTTAGGAGCCTCTTCATTTGACATGGTACTGGAGGTCTGAGTACAACTCTATCTTGCATCTCGTCTCCATCTCTTAAGTATGTATTACTCGAAAATTTGTTTAATATTCATCATGTTTAAGACTTTAAGTGTATGGTCACATAATATGCCCACCATTTTAAACTTTTGACAGCTACGATTGACTATCTCCTCATTAGCCTTAACCAAGATCAAATACTCTCTATGTTCATTAAATAATCGAACAACAAATTGATGCCACCAATCCAACACATCACCTGGTGTAGCAATAGCACACTGAAAGATATCATACTCTTCTTGAAACATCTCAAATATAGTAGCAGTGTACATTTGCCCTGCTTGCACTAACATTGGAGCTCTTTTTAACTTCAATGTAGGTAATTTTTGTCTAGCTTGGTATTTTAAATCTGACTCCTTATACTGTTTATCATTCACAACTCTTTCAAAATGTACAAAGAACTGAACAATGTCATGACTTTAAGTACTTCTGAAAGGCTGCATTCAAGCTCTCACTTAGTTGGGTACTTCTAATTCCTATAGTGAAAGTTCTCTTCATATACACATGCCCCCATTTCTCTCGCAATGCCCAAGTGGATTTTATCAACATATTATCATGCAAATTATACTCCGCAAGCAACAATTTTCAAGTCTCAAATAATTCATGTTTTTTCTCATATCCATACACACACTCTTTAAATCGAGCAGAAAAATGTGAATCATCCTTATATATGTTCCTTAAATGTTTCAAAGAATTTTGGTAAAAGTGCCAATAACATTACCCATGGTATGTCTGTGACATCACTTGAGAAATAGCTTTAGTCATTACTTGATCTTGGTTGGTGAAGATGATAATAGAATATTTTCTGGACATAGCTTGTAGGAATGTCTCAAATAACCACTGAAATGATGTTGTCGTTTTATCATACAATAATGCAGCTTCAAATAAGATTGTCTACCTAAAATGGTTGAAGCTAGTAAAACAAGCAAAGGGTTAATACTCTTTGTTCGCTCTAAGAGTAGTGTCAAATGAGATAACATCCCCAAAGTTGCATTAATCAATAATCATCCTTTGGTCTGCCCAAAAATATTAGTAGTATGCTCCTCTACATCCAATTGTACTCCATAATAGAATGATGGATTTTTAGTTGTTTCCATTTGAAAATACTTCAACAAACTACCCACCTCACTATACCTCAAGTCTCATTGCCTATTTTTACGGTGGTAATTCTTTTGGTCTTGACAAGTAAAACATAGATTTTCCTTTCCTCCTGACTACTCAAGAGTTCATAGGAAGCCTTAAGTGATATTCTATAGTCCACTGTCATATCAATATTAATGTCTTGTGTTCCAGTAACCTTCTATTGAGATGACATCATATGCATACATTTAGCAAGGT